GCAGCATCCAAGGGGCCCCAAATTGATATTACGAAATTTTAGAATTAAATGTTTTCCGTCCTTGCCAAGCAGTAGGGGCGCGAAATCTTCAGTTGTCCCTGGGCGCTGAAAACCCTAGCTACGACTCTGTCTGATTCTGATTAAAATTTAATCTTTGATAACCGGAAAAATCTGCGACTGAAAGGTACGAAAAATAATATAAGTATTTATATAACAGTGTAGTAATATTACCTCCCGCCAACTTAGGAAAGGGTGGTGACATTTTATGTCGAAAAATTCGATAGTGAGTTTTCAGTGAATAAGCACAAATTTTCTCACAACACATTTCTCACAACATACTACGACTGACGCGTTTTTTTAAAATCAGAAGTTTAGTTGATTATGGGCAAAGTACGCGAGAGTATTTGCTTAAGCTGGAAGATACCTTCGTAAAATAAATATATGAGTTGTGTTTATAATTAACATTAGACAATAAAGTTTATAAACATATAACATGTTTTCAAACATGTATCACAATGGATTTTTTTTGTTTTATTTTGGTACAAGTAGAGGATTTTCTAAGAGAAACTAAACTGTATCTGTAACACATGGGGCAAGGCAAACAACGAAAAGGCCCATGCAGCCAACCCGTTCACTCAAAATGGAATCAAGATCGAACTACCAGTGTTCAGTAACTTTACCGTTCGGTTGCTAATAGGTTTTTAAAATCAGAGAATGGGAATGGATATGTACATGAGCATGTATAGTTACCATTGTCGACTTCATGGGAGAATGGAATAAAAATATGAGTTGTGTTTATAATTAACATTAGACAATAAAGTTTATAAACATATAACATGTTTTCAAACATGTATCACAATGGATTTTTTTTGTTTTATTTTGGTACAAGTAGTTTTCTAAAAATATTTATCTTATCTGTATGAACTTCGCATAGGACATTTAATCAACTAAGGATCAGGAAGACTGAATTAAGCCAATAAGCCGAGTTAATGCTGTGTCACTTTACTTTTTAACTTTACTTTGCTGCATATTTATTCCAAAGGGCAGGAATGAAATCTGCTGCTAGATAAATAGGGATTAATACCAACTTTTCCTTCTATACTAAAGAGACTGATTTTCTTTTTCTGTCATTGAATTAGTTGAAGAAGTACGAAGATTACTTCTCTTATATAATAAAAGTTTTTTTAATTTATCTAAATTTCTTTGTTTCAGAAAGACTGTTGTGTTTTTACGCAAAGCATTTCAGAACGTTTGCACAATCAAATATCACTTTAACAGTTAGTTGTAAAATCCTCGATTTCAGTTTCAGAGCTAAATCAAATAAAGTAAATTTTAAGCCTTCAACAGTTTTCAACTAAAGGTAAAACTTTAAAAAAGAAATTTTGTTAGTGTAAAAGAAAAAAAAGTGTTTTCCTTAATCTATTTATTCGAGTAAAAAATTCTCACTTCTGTAGAAAAAATTATCAGCGATATTAAAAATTAAAAATTTTTAGGGCTGTTTACAAATACGCCTATATTTAGTTACGCATGTTGTGTGTTCAGTTTCTAAAAAAAAAAAAAAAAAAAAAAGCCTTTTCATTCAAGGAAAAAGAAAATATTCATTTAGAAGCACAGATTCTGTTAATAATTTAGAAAGGCCTTGAAATTTTTACTAAAAGGAAATTCAGTTTTTATTTGGTCCTTAAGTCAGCTATCCAGGAAATTCTTTATATTGGATGAGATCGTTTTAAGCCATTCTTATAGTTTTTTCATAAGCAAATTTTTCACTTTACAGAATCGATTCTATTCCGAAAGAATTTTGGTAGAATAAACAAAAACTAGCTGAATTTAAATTTAATAATTTTTTATTAAATCCTGCCACTTACCTAAACCTGGCCCAATCTGAAAATCTACCTTATTTGATTAATTTTTAAAACTGGAAACATGAAACTGCAAATAGTCGTTCAAGAGATATTTAGTTGTACAATCACTATAAAACTCTCTCTATAGTATTTTGCTACAGTGAAATTTAAAACCACTTGTCGAGCTAGTCTACATGGCCCATGTTGGTTTCACTGACGCTTGCATGCAATCTAGAACTCTGAAGCTCTCTGCCTCGCCAGTGGCCGAATTATTAAGATCGCTGGATACTAATAGCTCGATCGGGTTCGAACCAACGACTTCGTTGGTTCGAACTCAGGTGAACGAGCTGCTGGTTGCGTCATTGGTTTTCATGACTCTCCCTATTAGTAATATGAATACGTGCCAGTGGACACGAGTTTGTTTGGAAAATGCTCCACAAAGGCATCTCTTCCCTTAGGCAGAAAGCCTTTGTGTGATCTAATAGCCTAACGGAAACTATCCAACGTGTTTTTAGCCATCCTAACGGGTTGAAATTTAGCCGAAGCTAATCTAAAATTGCTAAAATTACACACTGCATTCGATTCACCTTGCGTACTTCTGCAATGCTGCCTCTTTTCCCACTCAACTATTGTATAAGTTCAGTTCAACTATAGCTAAATGCTAGCCTAACTTTCTAGACTGTTAGACGAATTTTCGTACTGTTTTTAACTGTCAGTACCTGAAAATAAAATAAATGAACTAATATAAAACTACGTATGATTTATTTTGACTTCACCTCGAAGTGCAAACCTAAAATAGGTAATAAAATTTACTTCCGCTTTTAGCGGTATTTGACGGACAACACAGAATTAAATTATTAACACCTCTAAAAGTTTTAATTTAGATTTTTGTCATCTGGCTCTGCTATTTGCACGATTGCTGTTAACAAAGTTTTCACGCAGATGAAAACTCACCAGCTCGAACATCTTCACCACGAACTTCAAACAGCTCCACAATGGCCGGCTGAAATTGCGAACGCTCTGGCTTATAAACTTAGAACATAAAGCTTGTTCAGACGTGCACTTGCCGCGCTTTTCCTGTGTCTCTGGAAATATCTCCTGAAAGAAATGGTGGAAAATATGAAATTATGCCCAAAGTACCTCACTACATTAGTGTGAAAGTATACTGGAACTGGCGAAACGGCGAATATAGGATAGAAAATAATGTAATGGCCTCGAAATTATAAAGAGTCAATATTCGACGACAGTCGCTGGTAGATTTATACAAGAACTCTACACTGTGAAGTATATACAAATGACTAAAAAGAAGCATCTAATCGTTTGGAGATGTGCAAACACACAAGAAAGATAAAACATATGGAAAATTTAAAACTTGAAAAGTCATAAAGTAAATTATCACATGATTAACTGTTGACAAAGATTTTGCACTTGGAATCGTGATACATTGTATTTAGTCTTTTAAAGTTATTTAATAGGTTCTGAATTGTACTGTCTGACTAAATTAAAGAACCACGCTCTGAAAGACCATTCGCGTCAGTTAATGATCTACATGTCGATCAAATCAGGGATCCTCGTGCTTAGCCGCAACTGTTCAATAATTAGAAATATTATTGAACGAGTTCATATATATATCATTTTGATGCTGTCAAGTGGTGTTGAAAGGTCATTTGGATTTGCTGTGCGACGCTTCTAGAGTTTTTCTAAAACCTTTGAATGTTTTCCGAAAACAGTAACATGCTTAAGTGGTCTAAGAGATGCTTTCTCAAGGCGTGCAATTTAAGCACATTATTACCAGTGATTACATTCAATCTATGCTTTTGATACAGAAACAGCTGAACTGCGTTTGAAAGGTGAAGCTAGACCGAACATCATTTCAAAGTCGGTCGGAAAACAAGGTAATCTTGAATATTTTCTTCGATTCTTTATGGCATTATGCATCATCGGATTTTAGTAAATGGTGAAACTGCGCAGAAAGAATATTTACTTGGATTGTTTGTTTCATTCGCGAGAAGCATTTCGCGGAAAAATTATACAAATTGTGGTGAGGTAAACTGATGGATCTTGCCCCACGATAATGCACCTGTTCAGGATGCTTGCTCGTGAAATTTTGGAAAAGAAAAATTGACTGAAAAATTTGATAAACATGGCTTCACAAGCTTCGAACTTCATCTGATATGCCGCCATGTGATTTTTTTTTTTTTTTCTTATTTTTTCTCTCTGGTAACTTCTGTTTCATGGTCACCAATGTGAGTTTACTGGAGCAATGACAGATATTTTGGTATGTCCTGAAGGATTTCATGAAAATGTCTCTGAAATATGTTTTGGGAATTCAAGAAAAGTTTGGCAGACCTACATTACAGTCGTAGAAGATCACTTTGAGGAGAGAATAATAAATATTGACTGATAAAGGAAAGTCTTGTGAGAATAATAAGTATTGACCGGTAAAGGAAATCTTGTGTTTCGCTGAATTATTATCAATATGTTTTGATCATAATACTGGCAGACCATAAGAATAAGTAATGGAGTAAAGCAAATACGATGACAACGACTTGGAAAGGCAACTTAAGGTGATTTGAAAATTTGAATGACTAAGCTATAAGTAAGTTTTGAAACTTTCTAAAATCAAATAAAACATGGATAAAATAATTTAAAATGCGTGCATTACTAAATTGTTCAATTTGTTATACTGGTATAAAAGGGGCTATTATAATTTGAATAGAAAGAGTTGGCTGTGGAATTTCTACCCGTTACTAAATTACATATTTACAGACACGGTTATAAAAAAATAATGTATGCGGTGTTTAACGTTATAATTTTCGTTTTTTTGTTATTCGAGTCTTTGAACATGTATTTTCAATATACAAGGAAATGTAAAAGTAATTGCGAGAACATTTTCGCATATAAAACTCGTACGCTCCTGATTTAATCGATTTTTTATCATCTTTAAACCATGAACAAAAAGATTAAACATTTTTGTTTCCTAATACATTTTTCTGTGTCAGGAAAATTCTTGAATGCGAGCATAGTTATCTCATTGCGTCAAAACTATGTTTAATGATTGCGACGGCGTGCCATCGCTGTTTTCAGGCATGACTTTGTGATTATAGTGCCATCTGTGATAAAGAGAATAAGATTTCTGTTTCTGAAAACGCTGTCGTAATTGAGCAGCATTATCAGCTCAGAGATCTACAGTTTAATACCTTTCCTCCCTCGCGTACAACGTCCACCTGTTCTAATTTGGAAGCAGGGGGAAAATCGCATACGTCATTGATGCAAATGCTCTAAAATCAGTTGACAAGAAAATGATGTCCATTTTCTATAGAACGTGTTGTGAGGTTCACAGCAAATATAACTGGCTGGTTTTCAAGTAGAGAGTAACAAAGATAGCAGTCTCGGAGAGGAATATGTTACCATACGGCATCTTCCTTCTTCTTTTCATTACACCTGGACTCGGTAAGATCATAAGTTTGGTTATATTATTTAGATGATGTCTTTCATTTAGTGATGGCTGATTTCAGATTCATAATTTAAAGAAGATTTGCATGCGAATTGAGTGCATTGATCTTTATAACTTAAGTATTTGCGTTAGACATATGACTATCATCAAATTTGAAGTAGCCCTTAAACATCGAATAACCTATGCATTACTGAAATCGACAGCAGTATCATCTACATTTTTGTTTACTGTGCTGAAACGTTACTAGCACGCACAAATTTAATTCATGCAATTTCCTATACTGGCCTTTACCTCAGATATTGCAATGAATACATTTGAAAACATTACTAACTGTTCGCCACAATACATACTCGGGGCGGATAGAATTAAATATTTGAGACTGGAACTTCTCACTTATATCGTGGTTTCCTAGACTTTCTTCCATTTATTCTATGCTTAGGAAGGCGTAAATACCTCTTGAAAGAGGAAGCATTCGTATGAATGGCCTCCAAAAAGAATTTTTTTTTTTTTTTTTCTATAGACATACAGAAGAATGGACTCGAATAATTAAAATGTCTTATTGAATAGGTGGTTGATTGCATACAAAGTTAATAAAAAGATGACAACGGATTTTATTACCTCAAATATTAATTATTAAGTGTATACTTGCAACTGCAAAGTTTTCTAAAATAAAATAACCCATTTTAGGAAAATAATTTCCACATCCAGGATGGAATTCTTTAGTAAAAATAAAGTCTGCCTTTGTAAAATAGTATTATGCTTTTATTATCTAAAAACTAAAGGATCTTTGAGTGCAAATTCGCTGAATCATTAAATAATGAATGTATTGAATAAACTATTTTCCGTGCCCATTACCGAAACTAAGGAAAAAATGCATGGATCAGTAAAAAAGCAAAATTTACTCATTTAACCGATTACAAATTTTGTCTTGAATAAAGCAGCCTCTGCTATTTAACTTGTTGCCTTTCTTTCAAATCACTTATTGATAATATAGCCGCGAATTCTGTATGTAAAATTATGAAATATTTTATTTTCAAATTATGAAAGGATTACTTTCGTTTTAAAAATTTCTTTTACATGCACAAAAACACTAATTTTCAAAACTGAGTGAATTTATTTGAGGTCATACACAGGGGCGTAGCTAGAGGGGGGCAAGGGGGGCATCTGTCCCCGGGCGCAGAATCCAAGGGGCGCCAAACAGATGTTACGACATTTTTAGAATTAAATGTTTTCCATCCTTAGCAAGCAGTAGGGGGCGCGAAATCTTCAGTTGTCCCTGAGCGCTGAAAACCCTAGCTACGACTCTGGTCATACATGGCATCATAACACCCAAATTCAAACTAAAATATTGAGCATAAATGTATTTGTTGCAAAATTTTATTATAAAACAAATAAAACTGAGGTAATATGAGAACGAAAATTTAGGAAAAAATATTATGTGGGGAAAAAGCAGATTCCTTTTAGCATTTGTATGTGAGGTTCCGTTATGTTAATTAACCAGTTATTTTATGTTTTCGAGTTGTACCATCACTTCTCCCTTTCTGTTTACCTCCCAGAATGCAAACTTAATTTGCTTGTATTTTAAGGTGCAATTTTCAGATTGAAAGACTAATTCGTGACATAATTAACTAGAGACGTGTTCTGTCTCTCGTGGCTATGCTACTGAGATGAGCTTGCATTAGAATTGCCAATACTTGGATTTCACGGCGAATAATTTCAGAGTCGACTTCACATTAAATTCACTGTGTAGCCTTTCGGCTACTAGTTTTTTTGAATTTAAATTTTAGATTTAACTTACTATTATTTTAAGTTCTCCTGTTGTAAGTGGTTAGCTAAAGTCTGCATAAGTGTCGCCATCTGTCGTCATGGTAGAGAGTACGTAGTTAAGAGCAATTTTGAAGTGGAGACAAAATTAATCAATTGCGAGGAGGTAGAAAGCATTTTTCTAAAACATTTACTGTAAATAAAGTAAAAGTGATGAGCTAAAATTGTACAAGTCTGAAATTGCAAGTTGCAGCGTCGAGTAAAAATCAGTTTTGAGTGGGACTCGAACCGTCAATGTGAAGCTCCGCCGATCGTTTTAAGGTCAAACTACTGGCTTTTATGGCGCGAGAAGTTTTTCTCATTTATTGCTCTGCTTAAAATTTGCTGTAATGCAAAAGTTTCATCAGTAGTTGCGAGATAGCCAGCAGCCTATTCGTCAGTTTTCTTATATGCTTTGGGTAGTTAAGGATATTAACCGATTTTGAAAGAATTTGGTTTTCTTAGACGATCTAGCCCCGGCTTCTTAGCAACAATTTTAGACTTCAGATTATTTCCAACGGATAAAAATTGTCTGTTTTGAAACATTTGACCTCACTCTCTTTTAAACGTCCATACTCCTGAAACTCAAAAGATTTTTCCAAATGATACTTCCTCGCCGTAAGAGAGTTTTTGTCTCGTTGTCGGAATTCTAGATAATGTGATCACATAATTGACATTTCAGAAACAAATGGATCAAACTGAAGTAAATTGTGATAATTTAGATTTGCCTTTTGTTTGTTATATAGAAGTAAAAAAAAGTCAGATGATTGGTTACTTCATTAAATAGCATTATTTCAAGAAATTATTTGACATCGGTATACAAATGAAATTTTTCTCAATGGTGACTACATGAAAAGTTAAATTTTATTTTTAGGAATTTTTCAATCCATAGTATTGAAACAATTTTCATAAAATTCTATACCTTAACTTAAGAAGCTTGTATTTGAACATATATGTACGAGAGCAATGTTTAAGAAAATGAACCTGAAGTTACTTTCTCGGACATAAAATAGTAACCATAGTACAGCGCAGGAATAAGCATATGGGACACCAGGATTTTAACATATGGTGGTACAAGATCTGTCTGGTACTGCTGATCCAGTGAAACAACTTACAGACGCTCTGTGCAAACTTTCCAAAACATTTTCATGTAGTTTTATTTAGAAGAATTAATATACAAATATAAAGATTTTTTCGTAATAGTTATTTCTCACAAATATCTTACCTTGTTTGGAAAGGTATTTTATAATGCTGTTGATTTTCTGAGGAAATTTTGGATTGTTTATGATATATTTTCAAAACTCGAGTTCTTTTGTAGGTGGTTTAAAGCTGTGATGTGCTTACGTGAATGGACATGAGAAGAGGTAGTACCGTAGAAACCCTCTTTCGTTACACAGTGGTCTGAGGAAGAGATATTTCTCTCGTAATAATAAGTGGGGAAGGGTCCATGTCCAGATATGAATTGATTTAAAAGGGGTTAATTGAGACATCTTTTCCCTTTTATTGTGTTGAACTGTCCTGCATTGGAGAACAGAATTCCATTTGTTCTGTCAGATTTTTCTTGTGTGTTTCTTTTTTCAGGTATGCCTTAGGCCAGCGGTTCTCAACTTTTTGACTAACGCGTATCATCTAAACAAAAATTGAAAACCTTTAGTACCACCACTTCAAAGTCCTACTACCACCACCAGTCTTGAACAAAGCTCAGATCGCATAAATTTACGAGTGTCAGAGAAAAAACTTAATTAGGACGTTGGGATTTTAATTTTTGAATTTAATAGTTAAAAATATCTTGCTTCTTTGCGTACCACGTATTTTTCTTTTGCGTACCACCAGTGATACGCGTACCTCCGGTTGAGAACACCTGCCATAGGCCATTTTTAAGTTCATATCTTCGGAATCAGCTTTAGAGTAGCTGCATCTTTAGCAAGAGAGTATACTTTTTCATGTCTTTATTCCCTTATTCCGCGCATGTGCTTTCATCCTGTCAAGAGGAATTTTAATTATGCTTTCTTCTTGGAGAAGATAAAAGATTTCTTGTACTATTGGAGAAAGATTTTTGAAGTTTGCTGCTGCATGTAGCAAATAAAAAGAATCTAAATGACTTGTAAGCTGACTGCAATTTTTATTGCTTTTATTGCCAAATTTCCGCTGGAAAAAGTGTATTTTTTTGGCGCATGCGTCCTTTTCAGGGAGGCTGATGTTCAAGCACAGGAAGGGCATTTATGATCAAGTTTTATTTACATATAAAGGTTGTTTTAAATATTTTCAAGATTGTTGTTACCTCAGGCACAGCGATAATTCGCTTAATGTCTTTTAGGGTTTGATACTAGTTTACACAAACAAAGCAAGTCAAATTTGATATATTTACCGTCACGGAAATACTCTATAAATAAGTGAAATTGTTTTAGAATGGTATGCACAAATCATAATAAACTATTTATAATTATCATAATTAATTTATATTCAAAATGTAAATCTAAACAGAGCTACAAGTTTTAGAAGTGCACTATACTGCTCTCATATTTATCTGAGAGAAGATATACCTTAGAGGTTGCGATATCCGAGAAAGATGGAAATTCATCTCTGTGTTATGCCATTAGAAGGCATTGAATGGTGTTCTCCGGCATATATGCAATAATTTTTTTCCTGTGTATATGTCTGCGTGTGCAAGACTGAAAAAATATGGATATAAACATAAGCAATACATTTTAATTTTCTTTAATTACTTATCAAAAGACTGCTTTCCCGATATGCTACACTGAGAACATCGGCTAAACACCCAAGCTTCCGTGAAATTCTGTTGAAGAGTCTCTTGCATTTATCAAAATACATCTAGACTCATCCTGTTTACTGGACTGCTGTGACCAAGAACTATAATAAAGTTATTTATTGTATCACAATATATCTTGACACTCGAACAAGACTAGAATAGGGGCGGTTAATTTTTGTAAACAAGACTGTTATAGCAATAAATAAAGGTCTGCACAAGTTGATTATTTTGGGTGAAGGCAAAAGAGTTTGTACTAATTGCATATAAGTTTTGTTTAGTTCTAATAATGCATTCATGAATATGTTTCACTTTCATTGATGTATAAGGCAAGAAATATCCATATATTTAAAAAATAACTGTGTAGTTACAGAAACGGATACTGTTATATCTGGCTTGTTCAACAAAGACAGTACCAGTGTTATATACGAATTGTAATTGTTTGATTTGCTTTTGTATCACAGTCTTATTTCACATGATTTCTTCTAGATGTTCATTAATCGAAAAAATCATGCCTTCATCGGCATTTGTTCAAATGATGAAATTCGCGGTCTGTGGCAAGAGTACTGTAATTGTTTTAGCAGTACGAGGTTTTGAATAACGTAGGAATAATACGTTAGTAACAAGAATGAAAGAAAGCTGTCTTAAATCTAGCTTTTGTAGTCTAGTTTTTAGTCCCTTTTGTCATGTAACGTAATACGTTTATTTAATGCATTTTATATCTAAAACCTACCTTGGTGGTGAATTCTCAGAGCACGTTTCAAACAGCATTTCCATAAAGCACATATATTCTTACTAATTTCGGTAATATATGGATTATTTGATAGCGCTTCACGAAGCCTCAAGCAATAATTTCTTCAAGCGTATCAGGACTATAGATGCTAAATAATGCAAAAAGTTCTGCAGATGAAATAGGCTTAACCTGCATGTACAACTGAATATCCGTTTTCTGTTGAAGTTAAAACAATTATTTATTTGAATTCAGTTCGTCCTTTCATTATAAATACATTTCTTGAGTGAAATTCTAATTCATGTTACTAATGAAAAAAATTCAGATTCGAATATTTTACGAAAACTTGTTTCATTTACAATTAGTTAATGACACAGTCTTTATAAATAAATTATTGCAGACGGAAATTAGACTAGACGAAAATTTTCTTTTTGCAAGAAGTCAATGCTTTGATGAATATCACGACGGTTATATAGGATAATAACGTTTATATAGGATTCATTTAAAAACCCTGTAAATATTCTTAATAATCCTCCCGGTAAGAGCTATGCTTCATAATATACGTTAGTATCCTCATCTTGTGCTTCTGCATCCTATGAATACTTTCGGGCTCAAATTGGAATATATTTTTATATGAATGTGTTACTAATTTGATTTAAGATCTTCAGTTTCCTACTGCGTTTTCAATCTTTTAAATCTTTTCTAGTCTATGTAATCTTTTATCAGACGGAAGAAGACTGACAAAAGAACTGTCTCTGATGTGTTCCAGGTGTTCAGAATAATGTTCTGCTATTTCAGATATTTGTACACAGTAGTATTTATAAAAGAAAAATTAATTCAGAAAAATTTACTTGTGAAACTTTAGCGATAAATTCAGAATGCTTAGCTTTAAATGATCAGTTCTATTTTAAACATTTGATAAAAGATATGACTAAGAAATCTCTGTTTTCGTAAGGGAGATTAATGTGTTTTATCTGGTGACTATTCTTTAGCTGTGGTTATTACCTTTATATCGATATGCATAACACCCTCTGTAATAATAACTGTTTATGATATTTAGCAGGCGATGATCCAGATGAGTTAAAAGAAGGATATGACGATTATTTCCAGTGTCTTCTAGATGTAAGTATTTTTATATCTTTGAATTTCTCTTAATGGTAATTCAAGTCTAGCTTAGTCTAATAAACGAAAAATCGCTTCAGCGCTTTTAAGTTTATAAGTCTAGCTTAGACTTCGTCTAATAAGAGAAAAATCTCAACAATAGAAACTGATAATATGCTCAAATGTAAACAGACGTTACATTAGACTTTCCTTGTTTTGGGAGAATTCTCATAATATAAGGTAATCCCTTTGCTTTGGTTTATTTGGTAGTGGCAAAGCACACTAAGGTTATCTAAGGGGAGGGATGAATTCGTAGAGGACTTTCTACTGGAAACTGACTCATATACATGTTACACATGGGGAAAACAAAGAAAACGCCCGTACAACCCGACCATTCACCTGGAATCGAACCCAGGTCGAAACTACCAGTGTTCAACAATTTTACCGCTCGGCCACTGATAATCCCTTTAAACAGCCAAATATGTTCTAGTAGATTTAGTTATTCTAATAAATGAGATAAAAAATACATCGCTTACACATGTTAGTTTACAATAACAAATGGCTTGCAATGTGAAAAAGTTCTAAAATATATTCTCTTTATAAAGAAATGAATCGGAAATAAATGTGATCTGAAATAAATATTGCATCATAAATTAAGTCTGTTAAAATAATAACAAAAAACGCCAAACAGTTCACGGTATATGTTATTCAGCAAGCCAAAAGCTGACTCAGTAACTATCCTAGTTTTTCAGACACGAGATTTCCATACGCAGTTTCATTAACTGTCACCAAATAAATCTGCGGCAACAATGTTTCCGACATGCTAATGTTTATACCTTCTGGAGTCCAGACGTCCAAAGATACTTGTTCAGAGATATGTCTCTTCATGTTTTTTCTTTCCTTTTTTTCTTATGGCGGGCAATAGCCATTTTAGGCATTGACCGTTACGAAAGCCAGAAGCGGTAGTCATTTTATTATGGATCCACCTATTAGGCGGTAACCATTACCTCCTATGAAGGGAAAGACAATTTAAATCCATGCTTTATCCGGAATTCGAACCCGGGCCCTTCAGTACGGCAGTCAGAGTCACTACTACTTTCTCCCGTCTGAGCGGCTATGTCTCCTCATGCAGAGAAGCATTTATAGCAAGTGTTTCAAAGAAACTATGCGACTAAATATCTGTTGGAGAACTAATTGGTCGTAGATGTATGGAATTTAGAAAATGGATTGAATATTGTAGGTGTTCAGACTACTTTAAGTTTGTAAAAAATGATACCTTTTAGTAAAACTACATAAAATTTAATATTTGTCTGGCTTCCATAAAAATTCATTTTTAGAGATTAAAATTTTTATGGCGGTGTACTAATACATCACTGGTTAGATTTCGAAGGCGAAAGGCTATTATCAAAAGTTACGACTTTCTTCTGTTTTGACTGCTTATTTGGTAACTTTTGGTTATTTGGCATATAAAATTAAATCAATTCATTTGTAGTGTATTGTCTAGTTATAATAAAAAAGATAACAACAGTACTTGCCTTTTTTTCTTTTTTCTGTTGCTTAAGGATAAACAGAGTAGAAAATGAAAACTTTCTACTGTATTTTCGAATGAATGAATAATGCATAAAAGGTTTCTTAAAAATAATATTCTTCTGTGATAAGAAATCATTTACTGTAATTTACTTTGCAGTGCTTTGGAGACCTGAAAGGAGTCCGTTCTATCGATGGAGAACTTTGCGTAAGTCACTTTTAATACATAATTAGTACTTAATGTTAATCACAAGAAATATTTAGCAAAAAAATATTGCTGCACTTCTTAAAAAGAACAGGCATATTGAACGTAATCATGTTTATATTATTTAGAAATTAAAATTTCTTAATCTTCAATAGCTTATTAAATTGTCTGAAAAAATTTGAGCTTAATTGGTTTTTTAAAGGTTATTAAATTCGTTTAAAATTTCATTCGAAAAATTATTAGCACAAAGTCCATTGTAAAGTGATTTATAGAAATTTCATTCGCATCGCCATTTAATCATTTTGTCTCAACAAAGAGAACCTTGGTCAAGTTGCTAGAATAATGGCAACCAGGACTAGATGAAGTTTTCTCCTTAATCCACCCTTACACTGTATGATGAATACTGTTTAGACATAAGAATCGCAATCACTGTTGGTACTCTGCATAGCAAATAGATCTGTTCTGTATGGATGTAAGAGACAAATCTCAAAGTCTAAGAATACGTGATACATTAATGGAATGCTTATTTGGTCCAAACACGGGCCATTATAAGCTCTTGAGTGTAATACCACTGAGCTTTTTCGGATAAATTTAAGTGAAAATCTCTCATGACTACAGTGAAGTTCAGTTCAATCTGAAGATGAAAAACTCCATTTCCACACCTTTCAAACAAAAAAACGAAATGACTGTAAAAGCCATATTGAAGAGATTTCCTAGAACGGTTCCTCAAGAAGCAATTAAAGAATACTAAAAAGGCAGAAAATTTCAACTAAAGCAACTTACAACTTTGGAGCTACAGCTACAACTTACCGCTTTGGAACTACAGCAAAAGGAGGCTGTTAAAGCCGTCTTCAGCGTCAGAAATGTACTTAGAATAGATGTACCTACCGAGCAGTTTAACCCAAAGAAAAGGCCAAAGCAATTCTTTAAATGCCATAAATTTGGACTCTTACAGCATATATGTTACAGTTAAATAAGATGCGTGAAATGCAGTGAGAATTACAAGAATAATGCTTGCCGTCCAAAGAAAAGTGGCACTCCTACTAGAATGTTTTGCTAAGACCCTCTTGTAAGCAGTTATCGAGGATGTCCAGAGTTATTGAAGAAATTTCAAAACCTAAATTCTCAGATTGCTTGCAGAGAAAACTGCTTTTCAGGACGAATGAAGATTTTCGAGACCTAAAAGAACTGAAGATATCAGCCTTGTCGATAAAACCCTCAGAAAATAAAACTGAAATGCTAATGATGAATCACACCAGAAGCATATGATACAGTAAATCTGATGACTGATAAGTCAACATGGTCCATCATTCCTCTGCTGAAAGAACTCAAACAAGCAAATCGTTAAAAGATAAATTAACTGTTGCCCTTCAGAGTAAAAAAAAAACCATCTTCAACTTCGCTAAAACGGATTAATTCTTGAAGATGACACCATCATGACAGCAAGATTTTTCTCATGTAATAAGTAGAAGAGCTTCCTTTTTGTGTCACAAAATTCACATCCTTGAGTTTGAATTCCGCCGAACTTGAATTTGAATTTTATTCTTTCGCCTCATCAGCAGTGTGCCTCGTGCTCTAAAATTTTATTCAACGCCAACGCCTTGGGGTAAAAGCTTAAATAAGCATTATCAGTTCATCAGCATCGGCAATTAAGGAACACGTTTTAGACCTGCTGGCACGTAAATTAGCGGAGATAAATGGAATTTTTTCTTTTGCTGACCAATCTACATTAATTAGAAATAAATCGCTTAGTTTTCACAGCTTATTTTCCTCACGGATATATTGATGAAAATATTTTTAAGTTTTCGTGCACACAAACTTATAATGTATTTGGTACAATTTTAACTTCTAATCATGTAAATGCTGCTAATCGTGTGAATCCTGAAAACAATAAGAGATAAAATCACTCATAAAACGTATCCGTCGGCTTTATGTAGCAACAAGTATAGTGACTTTCAGCTACTTGCTGAAGAGTTAAAACGTGATTACTAGAGGTGTAAAACGAAATCCTGCTGCTAAAGTATAACTCTATAGCTGTATTTCTTTTTAGATGCATTTGATGAATGACTCTGCTTGCATTCGCATTTACTGTGAGGAGACAGTATGATAATTTGAGTTTGGGAGAAAAATACGAGGGTCATTAATTCACTAGGGAATTATGTCCTGAGTTCTAATTTACGCATATATCTGCTGGCATTGCCAAATCATTTTTGCAATGTGTGACCATAAAAAACAAAGAATGTTAGTGAAATTTTGCTTAAGCAAAACTACAGCTAAGACCATGGTTGGAATTAGGCTTGGAATATCTTTTAAAGATGATGCTTTGAGTAAATTTTAAGTGGAAGAGAGATTTTCCAGAGTCGAAAAAAAGATGCATGTTAATAGAAGTTTGCCGCAACTTGAAAATCTAGAGGCGAGCAGAAAGGAGTGAAATATTAAAATAGTGCGAAAGACTACTAAAATGATCCGAAAGACTTAACACATAATTTCACTGCAATGTGTATAAAATCTTTCGATTCCCTCAGTTGCAGTCTTTCTGACGAAAAGCAAAATTTCAAGCACACTGTTTGCAATTGTTTTGTTTCCGTACATCTATAAAATGGTCGGGTGCTGTTAGCAGGAACGTACATAAATCAGTACCCAGAACGAACTGCTCTACTCAGATTGATGTTATTTGCCCCCCCCCCCAAAAAAAAAAAAAAAAAAAAAAAAAAGGCGGGAAGTTCTAAGGAGACGAGATCTAGCGGCACGGAACTTAGTTATGAAATGTTTGCGAACTATGAATTTTGGGTTGCCTCTCTGCAGAAGAAGAACACTTCGCTATACAGAAAATGACGCCATGTATTTCGCTTTGATTAGTCGGCTTCTGTATCAAGTTACGCCATTTCTTCAATTAAAGGCCTAGGGGTTGAAAATTCTGATTTCTTGCTTATAGCTTATGGTATAGCACGGGGTCCCTGCTTACTAGAGTTCTTCTTATGCCTTTTATGATATTAATAACATAGCGAGAACGCTAAGAACGGAAATTAAAACTTCATTTACCTGAACAAGAAATGTGAGGAGATGCCATAAAGAGTTTACGCTGTTAATCTAATCTTTGCAGATAGAAAGCGTAAGTTTTCAAATGTAATACAGCAATGAAGCATCTTTAGATAATACCCCTATGCGTACAAAAGCTTCTGTTAGTGCAGTGAAATTCAAATACTTCCAAAGCGAGTTGATTTGAAAAAGTCCTGGAATTACAAAGTAACATAAAATAATCTAGTATAAAATAATTTGACTGTAATAAATAGCCAAATGTAAACTCTACAAACTCAACGGATTATTTCATTATTTTCCACTATTTTCAAAACTACAATTTTGATCAGGGTCTCTGTATTTTGCAGAGTAACATAATGCATGTTTTTGTAAGCGCTTAGAATATATGTTTTAGATGCACATTATTGATATATTTGCATAATTTAAAATTTATCAAGCCACACATAAATAAGGAAAAAATGTTTTATTTTTGAACGCATGTGCCTACTATCTCTTTTTCTTTACATCAGTTTGATTTAGGAAAGATTTTTATCATATGTACGTTTGATATAAATCTTGCATGATTATAACAGTAAAATAATTTTTATGTGATTATCAGAATCTATAAATCGTCATTACACTATTACACACATAATAAACGTGACTAGGTGAAAAAAATGGCTCGAATATTTTGCTGTGTAATATTTAGTTGTGTGATGTATATGTTTTTGTAATTAGCAATTTTATTAGAATACCAACACTTCTGGTATTATGTATTTTTCAGGATGCTACTGTGGTGGTAAATGCGAACAAAAAGGTAAGCTGTTTTGGACAGTTGGAAAATATTTTGTGAAGTATTTCTAAATATCTTAATTGCATCTAAATGCATTAATTGAATTTTATTACTTGTATGGAAAATAGTTTTTTGTGTAAATAGGAAAATTACTCTTTCATTTTGTAGATACGTTTAAAAATATCGTGTGCTAAAAAGAAATTAAATTATTCAATTTCTCATTTAAAAGAAAACCAAAAGCATATGCATTCTTGATGCTCAAGACTGTTTAAAACGGAATTCAAGTAATCAAAAGGCACATCATATCGGGTTACTTAATGCTGCTGTTTTTTGCGGAAGTAATTTTCGTGATCTTATTCCAGCTATGAGGATTAAAGAGTGGGGACAGTTTGGTTTGGTTTATTGAGATTACGGTAAGCATAGCAGGGCTATTTCCTTGCGGGAGGAATGCCTCCGTAGAGGATTTTCTAGCCAGAACTGGCTCGTATACACGTTACACATAGGGGAAAACTACAAAACCACTCATTGAACCAGCTCGTTCGCCTGGAATCGAAACCAGCTCGGAATTACTAGTGTTCAGCGACTTTATTGCTCTGCCCTGGTGGGCTTCTAGTGTGGAAAGCTAAAGCGTTTAATGTTTTCCTACGTTAACAAAGATGAAAAAATAGGTAATATTTGTGGAAACAATTCAAACTGTATTTTGTTTGGTTAGCTAATTTTTGTGAGTTTCATCTTCTCTATTTTTACAAAGTTTTAGTAATTTTATATTATAAATAAAAGTAAACTTTCAGATTTTTATTATACCAATCATAAAAATGCGTATTGTAAAAAATCTTAATTTATGAAAATATGCATTTTTAGATTAATCATTTATACCATTTTTACAGCTGCCTAATTACTTTATTTACCTTCCTCTTCAATTTGAAGCAGTCAGAATAATAATTAATCTCTCAAACAGTATTCAGAAATAAAATTCTTATTTCAGTAATAAAAGGCTGTTTAAAGTTAAAATTCTTAGCAAAATTGTAAAATCATGTAACAACTAGAAACAATAGTAAAATAGTAAAAGCTATCTCGTAAAAACTAAATGTAAAAATTAAAAATCGAGATGTCTTCAAAATTAAAAAGGGGTGAGAAAGGTCTCTCTAATTCCCGTTGTCTAGCTACTTTCGTATATAGTGAAGCTTGGCATCAAAGTTCAGGCATGGCTTTTTGCAGAGCGATAAGGAGGATATCCAATGACGACGCACAGAGGAATTTCATTTTTAATTGCTCATACTTATTTAATTCAAATAGCAGATCAATTTCCTTTTCCAACGATGTTCTCCAAATTACAAATTCAATAATGAGTTCCTAAGTACGATTACATTTTGACTTTCTGCATCATATTAATCTAACAAAGAAAGAAAGATGAGAAGCGTAGCAGCATAGGTCCTAGCAGCACAGGGAAAGAGAAGCTTCTGACGCAAAATTGGAGCGCATTCGTTATTTATAGTAGCGGTTATGTAATAGGCGCGAATGTTCTGGAAGGTACTGGTCTAGGGGACAATCCTGAATTGCAGAAAGTTAACTAAAGGTTGCGTGTTCGCGAAGAGTAAAGCCATCATATTTTTTTATATTTTACACACACACACACACACACACATATATATATATATATACAGTGGGGGTCAAACTTGTGGACACTTTTGGAAATTTTTATGTTTTTGAACTTTGTATGCTTATAGAAAACGTTACGTTTCACAAAATGCAAAACTGTATATATCATTTAAAGAGAATTTATTACTGAATTCAATACAAAACACAAAATTCCTTATTTGCAATACAAAAAAAGTTACGATATAGTTATCGATATACATTAGATAGTGATGATTGCAGTGAGTTTATCAGTACTTAGTAGGGTTCTCTTTATTTTTTATTACAGCTTCACATCGACGTTTCATTGAGCTGACAAGAGTTTTAAGCTCTTCTTTCTTTTCGTTATTACATGATGCCAGAAACAATTATAAGCCTCATTAGTTCCATTTTATTTGATGGGCGCCCTTCGGACAGGAGTTTTTCAAACGGTGCCACAATTTTCGATAGGATTGAGGTCAGGATAGTTTCCTGGCCACGACAACAATTTAATGCTCTTTGTACGAAACCACTCTTTCGATATTTTGGGCCGTGTGGCAAGGAGCAGATCCTGCTGAAAATAAACGAGGCATGTTGGGAAAAAGATCTCTAATGGAAGGTAGAAGTTTTGGTTCCAGAATAGTGTCAATGTATTTTCTGGCATTCAGTGTCCCATCGATGCATGAAGGCGACCATACCATCTGCTGACATGCATCCAAATCATAACACCAACTGGGTTCTCACAGTTGCTTGAATGCAGTCAGGATGTAGCTCTTCTCCTATTCTACATCTTACATATTTTTCGCCCATCACTAACCGAATAACGATATCTAGTTTCATCACTCCATATAACTTGTGACCACTGATCATTGTCCAATTAATGTGTTCCTATGCCACTGTAGTCTTTTTTTTTTTTTTTTTTCGTTGCTGAAAATTAGATAAGGCTTTTTTCGTGGATTCTACCTCTAAGTCCAACATCTGTAATCTTCTTCTGATTGTTCTTGAACTGACAGAAACACCAGCATCATTCAGATCACTTCGATGGCCGCTGATGACATTTTCTATCTTGGAGACATAGTCTTTTTATTTCCTGTCATCAATAGATGTGGGCACCTTTTTCGGCCTTTTTTCTTGTTTTTTTTGAATTTGTCTCCTGATATCGTAAAAAAACTTTCGGACTCCAGATGTAGTCACTGAACCACCCACCTGTCTTGCAATTTCAGCATAGGAAAGACCACTTTCTCGTAACACAATAATATTACATCTCTTCTAGGTGTCCATTACTCTTTTTTATTTGATGTCATTGTTCTTGACTAATATTAAACATTTTTACAAAATTCCTACTGTAAATTGCAGTGTATAAAACAGGTCCTCCTTCTACAGAACAAAGCAAATAACGAATTGTTTCAAATGTAAACATGATGTCAGCTTCTAGGAGTTACTAACATTTGATTGGTTTGAGAACAAGAACAGTGATTGGCCAGAAAAGTGGACATTACAAACACTTCATAGCTGTTTTTTATTTATATAAAGTACATATAACTTTTTTGTATGGCAAATAATTGATTTTGTTGTTTTGTATTGAACTCAGTAATAAAATTCTCTTTAAAATGGATATATACAAATTTGCATTTTGCGAAACGTAACATGTTCTATAAGCATACAAAGTTCAAAACATAAAAATTTCCAAAAGTGTCCACAATTTTAGCCACCACTGTATATACCATTCAAACCGCAACACCATGAAGGAAACATTAAAACAGCATGAAATTTGTATCATGTGTATACCGCGTTGGAACATGCAAATAATTATGATTTTAGAGCAGATCATGGGCGACTGCAACGTTCCTCACAATCTTTATATAAGAAGAGGAAAGACTGCCGTTTTGAATAACATGAATCGTTATCGTTCTGTTCATGAGTTCTTTTTTTTTTTTTTGTTTTTTTTGTGTGTGTGTGTTTACAACTGCAGTATGCTCGTAGAAAAGCATGAGTATCATTTAAGCATGCTTCTGAGTTCAACCGAGGTAGAATCATTGCATACACAGATTGCTGCTTATCCTTCTAGGAAATCGGTCATCACGTGTCGGACGTACGCAAGCAACAGTCATACGAATATGAAACTGATGGATGCAAGAGGGAAAGACTAACGGACAGGAACGATTGAAACCGCCTCTTCGCACCACTCCGCGAGAAAACAGGTATATTGCATGCATGGCACTGACACATCCGCAACCGTATCACAATGAATGCAGGCTGTGACATAATAATCGGTGTCTGCAAGAACAATTCGACGTCGTTACAGTACAATAGACTGTAGTGTAGGCGTCCATTGCTTCGCTTACCTTTAACTTTAAGCCACGGGCGTTTTCGTTTGAAAGTAGTGCACGACATCTGTCTACTTTGTCTGTCTGTCTGTCTGAACGGCGGAGATGGACATCCGAATAGCAGACATTGCGTTTTCGGACGAATGACGCTTCTGTCTACAGTGCCATGATGGTCGGATTAGAGTTTGAGAACATCGCGGAGAGAGGCTTCTCGACTATGCATCGTCATACGTTGTGTTATGCATAGTCATATTGGTCTTGCACTTGGTGATATGGTGTGGGGTGGTATTGTATTCCACTTCGACGTACTCCAAGTATGCATTATCTGTACACATATCAGCCCACGCTATATATGCGAGGTTTTACAATCTGTTCTCCTTCCTTACCTTTAGGGACTGCCTGCTGCCATATTTCAACAGAAAAACGCACAACCATGCGTTGCTTTCAATATTCAAGTCTTCAGCTTAGCCCATCATACTGCATTGTTATCCTGACCTACACATTCTCCAGATCTATCCCCCATCGAACATGTCTGATCAATGACTGGAGAACGCCTAGCACGGCATGTCGCACTCGCACACGAGATGAACTTTGGTTACGTGGGGAGATAGTATAGTCTGCCATTCGCAACAACACATCCAAAGCCTCTTTCATTCACTGCTGTGTTGTGTAGCAGTGGTTATCGACAAACATGCAAGCAACACTCATTACTGATTTTTTTAGCTTCCTCTCCTCAATAAAGGCTGTATTTCAAATCAATTAACACTGATACTATATGTAATCTCTGAAATTAATTTTGTTTTATTATCTCTTGTCCTTCTTCATGTTGTCTTTTGGATGACCAATGGTGTACATCTGAAAGGCTGTAGGAATTATTTTAATTTTCTAACAGACATTTTTAATTTTGAAACCCTTTCCTTTCTTTTCTCCTAACTACAACTCCCTACCAGAATGAGTTTTCAGTGTCGCGTTTTATGTAAATGAGGTAGAACCAGTATTGATTGGGAAGTTCAGTCACTTCCGTAGAAGAGATCAGAAGTTCTTAGTACAGCATGTTCTGCCTTCGGACCACGTCGTAACTTTAAGCCTACCGTACAGCCTTCGGCCGTACATGAAAATATGCATGAAAACCAAAAACTCCCTTTAATAACATAATAAAAAGAATATAACAAATTGTTGAAAATTCTTTGGTCTATTTTAGGGAGCAGCTGACAAATTTTCATCTGAGCCACGTTTCTGAATTATATCTGGATGATTAGAATTCATGAAATAAATCAAAAGTAAGCGCCAAATAAAAGCAAATTAAATTACTAAAAATAATCAAGATTATTAACATTTCTATAATGAAAATGAAGCATGAAGTAAAATAAAGTATATTTTTTTAGCCTTTTAAATAAAGCATAAAAATATAATCTGCTTTTACGTGACCCAAAATAAAAAATGCCGTATAAAACTTAAACAATATAAAATAAGAATTTTTCAGAATTAGAAACCATTTAAGCAATTATTCAAATTAGAAATATTTAATAAAATCAGTATTTCAAAAAATTAATTGTATAATTATTAATTATAGTACAATATTTATCAAAGTATTATTTTAGTTAATATTTGTTTTTCTAAAAAAATTGTACGATATTTTATTACAGTCTATTTATTAAAATATTCCAGTTTCATTCATTATTTTAATTTGTCTTTTATTTAGCATTTACCTTTGGTTTATTAAAATGGGCCAGATAAAATTCTGAAACGTGGCTCCGTTGAAACGTTTTTGCTGCTCCTTGGAAAGAACCAAAGAATCGCCATCTATTTATTATACTATTTTTATTATTTTACTTTATTGAGCTGTTTTGGTTTTGTTCCAGTTTTGGTGTATGCTCTTCCTGTTAGATTGTGAATCACTAAATTTACTTTATGTATCGCTGCTTTTAAATTGCGGCATAATGCGGGCCATAGTAATAATCTTATTTGAATTTCTAAAGTTATGTATATGTTTAGATGTGTGTGCTTATCTATATACATCTACATGGTTATTGGTAAAAAAAAAAAAAAAAAAAAAAAAAAAAAAAAACCCGTTTGTTTAAATTTTTCAGTTTTATTGGGTAAAACACTTCAGTTTCATTCTAAACATTATGAAAAAACTTACATCATTAGCCTTATATAGAAATCATATGACTGGGAAATAATTCTGAAATGACGCACTTCAGAAAGTTAGTTCATTATATAGTATAGATCGTTATATAGCTATATAATATATATTGCTAGTTGTACCATAGGAAAGCATAAATAACCAAACTAGAAATTTCAAATTTCAAAAGGAGGCTTAAGAAGCTATTACAAATTATAATTAAAATTTTATCTCACATTTATATATTATCAAACATTCTACAATAGGATTATTCAAATTTCGGATTAATACCTAAAATTTCGCTTAAAGTTCTATGTTTGCATTCTATATCTTGCAATCAAAATATTGAGATGGATTTTAGGAACAATGAGAAATATTTAATCTTGATTCGTATGATATTATGTAAACTAAGATGGAAAACTGATATTGAATATTATGCAACACTTAATCAATATATGGATGTTATTAGATAACGAGTTTTAAAACCTTTTCTATTAACTACAATACGGTGAAAATGATCTAATAATGTACTCATAATGTACCAATACGTCTCGAAAAGTTCAAGTAACTCTATCTAGGCGTTTTAATGTTAATACTTGTAATAGGATACTGAACAGGATAGTATATGGATGTTATTTATATTTGAGTAAAATACTTTTTTAGGCAGAAATGTCTTAATGCAAATACTATTAATGCAACAATCTATGAATGCATCTTTCGTATTTTGCAAAAGCTACCTTCGCTTCTGTGTAGGTTTTTGCAAAGAAAACAATGTCAAACTTTTAAAAAATCTTTTTAATCTTTTTAAATGCTAAGTCCTAGATCGAAGTACGTTCGAAGTTCGGTATACGTTCGGTAAGATCGAAGTACGTTGTTCTTAGGCACTGTTATCTTATGAATATATTATTTGTATAATAATAGAAATGTATATTAATATATACAAACATTTATATGATATTCAAGCCTATTTATTCAAATAATAGCTACTGATTAAAATTATCACTAACAAATTTCTTTGACAAAAACATTTCTATTGGCCCATTTTATTTTGTGTACCATACTTACCTATGATATTAGTACTTTTTCTATATTTTGAAAAGTTTCGTAGTATGGTTCATTTTAAGTCAGTTGAGTAAAATATAAGTTAGACATTAACAGAGATTTGAAAGAAAAATTAATTTTTTATAAAACGACTCAGGTTAATTATAAATATCGAATTGGTGGCGGAGTAGATATTTAAAAATATTTATATGATTTTAATTTTTTTGTTAATATAAGATATGATTTTTGAAATTTTTGAATAAAGAAAAGTTAATAAACTGCAAAAGGATGTTCGGAAAATCTAACCTTTCCTACTAGTACATGCATTTATGCTATGGTATTAATCATTATTAAAATAACAATTGTAGCTTAATCTGTAATAATCTACCTTCATCATTGGTCAGAAAAAAAACCCCGCTTTTGAGCAAGGAATTTAGTTACATAAATTAACTGAAATTTTATGTTAAACATTTTAAATTTTATTATGTCACTTTAGTATCACACTTTATTACGTCACGAAATTAAGTGGAAATACGTAAAATGTTATTTATTAATCAAAGAAAAAAAAGGATTATTTACAGTTTATTCTAAGCGATTGCTGTGTCAATAATGAATCTTTTCTTAGTAACAAATTTATCGAAAGGGATTTGCGTTAATAATTATGTATTACTCATTGCAAGTTTACATAAAAATATGTAAATGTTAATTATACATTTTTTCCAGCAAGCGTTGACCATCGAAGATGTTGCAAGTGTTTTGCAGGTGAGATATCTTATATATTTGACTTTTATGGCTAATTATGGAAATAAATGTATTTGAAAGTTTCAGTTTATTTATTCTCAGTTTAAACCCTACTGATTGTTGCTTTGAATATGAAGAATAGTTTTGAAGTGTCAGTCCTTATTTCTTACTCCCGGGCTGAATCATTAAATAAATTACATACTGCTTAATATGAACACAACGCATTTAACAGATATTCCAAAGTTTCAGATTTTAGATAAAGCCATTAATCTGTATGTTATTTCTTAAAGAAAATAGGTTTTCAGCAGCTTGAAAATCCTTCCTTTTCGGCTCGTTAATCTGTATGCTTAAAATACCGAAACGCCCGTTTCCGTCCATTAACCGTCCCGTCCGTTTCCTTCCCTCTCCGTTCATTCACGCACAAAGAGGTGCGAAGATTTTAAATATCATCTTTTCTACTTCCTAACAAGGAAGCTTCCATTTTGAATGAAGGGCTGTCTCGAGCGTTTTGGCCTTCAAAGGGTTAAACTGTGTCATGGAATTTCATGTCATATAATAAATGGAGAATCAAAAAGCTTGCCTGGTCAGTTGAAGAGTGGTTCAAGAATTTATGCACTAAAATAGATAGATATGAATTAAAGACATTTTTAATGTTGACGAAACTACTCTATTATTTTAACTTATGCCTTCAGAAACCGTAGATTTCAAAGATGACCAGTGTCATGGAGCTAAGCAACGTAAAGAATGTTTCATTTTGCTTTAATTTGTGCAGATACTGAAGGTACGGGGAAAATAACTCCTTTAGTTACTGGAAAGTTTCAAAAACCAGGCTGCCTCAAACATGTTAAAACTCTGCCATTAGAATACAAATTAAATAAGAAAGCTTGGATGACTGAAGATAATTTTCAAAATGGCTCAAGAAAATGGACAAAATTATCAGCAGACAAAATCACAAAATTTTACCTTTTATGGATCAGTGTACCGCCTATCCAAATGACAGATTTCTTGCTGAGATGAATATTGTTTTCTTCCTAGCACACTGCACTAGTGTAGTACAGCCTTTACATCTGGCTGTCATTAAGAATTTTAAAATGTTCTAGATTGATTCAAATAGCCCTTCAAAATATAACTAAAAGAAATACAACACAGAAAAATGTTAATAATTTTGAGGATAAGAATATGATTTTACTTGCCTGGACTCAAGTAAAGCTACAAACAATTAAAAATAACTTCATTAAAGAGAGATTTTTCAAACCCAGTGTCAAGTGAAAACGTTGACGATGAAAACGATGATGAAGCAGTGATTATGGATGTTGAAGATTAGAAGCTAATAGAATTAGACATTACAGTCGAGGAATTCGTAAACTGTGGTGCCAATGTAATGATGTCAAACTTATGCACAGTCGAAGAAGCGATTGAAAACATTTTTCCAGGTAAATATAAGTAGCGAGGATGAAGAACAAAATGAAAAAATAATTTCACCTTCTTTTCACACTGCTATCCACTGAATTGACATCCTCAGGAATTTTTTTGTGTATAATAATAGAAGCGAGAAAACATTTCAAGAACTGAATTCGATTAATAGCGCTTTATTTAAGATTCAGAATCAAAAGACACGTCAGACGAAAATTAAAGAATTTAAAAAAAAATTTAAATTTGCTTAAAGATGTTCTTGGAAAAAAATATTTCTTATTCAAGATGGTAATTCAAATAAAAGTATGATTTTTTTCAATTTTATGTAACTGCATGTACAGGAATTTGCATTCTTATAATTTAAAAAAAAATGCTTTATGTGGTTAAAAAAATTAAAAAAAAATTATTATAAATTATGTTTTTTTTTCTTTGGATTAAAAATATTATTTCTTTTAATCTAAATGGTTAATGTAAACAAGACAAGGCTTCAACGTTATTGGCTTATAATGCCACACAGAAATTATCAAATGCAGGGATAGTACTGCCGTATGGTGATTCATTTGTATTTCTTTTTATTGCCATATGGGAATGCACTCGTAATTCCTTTAGTGCTATTTAAAATTGCACAGAAAAATGCTTATCCTTTTCCTTAAACATGGCGGAGATTTCCATGTGGCACAGCCTTTTTGGTTCTGACATTGGCAGTACCTGTCGTGCTACACAGAAATACGACAGTTTGCAGTAATGTACTTTTACCTCACTTGTGCATTTAACGATGCCACACTAATGGAATTTTCGTAATGACATGATAATTTTAAACGCTATTTTACAATGTAGCACAATAAAGCTTGTTTCTATTCCTAGTTAATATTTTTCTATACACAAATTTTATTAAGGTTTAGAATTTTTTGGCTCTCTTGAATGTTACAAATCCTATTCTTTCCAAGAACATTAATGGTATCAAAATAGGTAAAAATAAATTTAGCGTTGTCATACATATGGGCAAGCAAACTATAGTTTATATTATACTTCATATTAAAGTTGGTTAAATCTGAGTTATAGTTTAAAAAGTTAATTCTTATCTTTAGAATTCATTATATGCTTATACAAAATTGAATTCGTTTTATATGATGACATTTTAATTACAAAAACACGTTGTTTGATTCAAAAATTATGATATGAAATAAAATCGAACGTATGAAGGAAATCGAACGTATTATCCTCTTTCCTGTTTGACTGGATGTGAGAAGGTGTGAGGAAAGGAATATTGTCAAATTAAAGTGTAAAAATTACGAATCTTCACTTTTCTTGGAACATATTATTATTATTATTACAAAAGTACTATTAAATGCTTGCAAATTGTTTAAGTTCTTCAAGAAACAATATTAAACTGAAATTGCTTTAGAATAAATCTAGTATAAGGAGTTTTATGAATACAATTAAAAATCTATTTTTATATAAGTGTTATTCAGATGAAAAGGTGCAGAATTACAAACTTTTTGTGATACTGTAATACCAAATATTTAAAACTAGTTGAAGTAGATTTTAAAGAATTCGTTCCACTGAACAATCAACATTAGATTGCTACTTTAGAATATGTACTGTTACTTTGAATAATGGCAAAGCACACGCGGGCTATCTGTCTTAGAAAGGGGAATGCCGACGTGGAGGAAACTTTAATAGAAAGTGGCTCGTATTCAAATTACACAGAGATAAAATCACAAAAGCACCAATACAGGCAGCCAGTTCCATGAAAACGAATTACCAGTTTTCAGCTATCTTACCCCTCGGCTGCTGGTTAAAAATGTTGCGAATAGAGAATTCTAATTCTCTATTTGCAAAATTTTAAATTCTCTACGTTGAGATGACAGTCGGACTTGAAGGGAATTTGAAGCTCTTAAGTTCTCCTTTTAGAAATTGAAATGTACAGGTGCTTCCTTGTCATAATGCGTAAGGTGATGTCAGATTATATCCATATTATAAGGATAACTGTCTGACACTGAAATTCTCCTACGGAAAAAAACATATTATAAAAAATTAAAAATTTCCTGCAATTTACCTTTTTTGTCCTAATTTACTTGATGTCTGAAAAATTAATTTAAAACTCTTTAAACTTTTTACTTTCTCTCTTTATACTTCATTCAGCAAATTATGAGAGTAAAAAATCTTTTTCTATCCTGTTCAATTTAGAGATCGACTTCCGCGATTAACTCAAATTCACGATTAATCCGAAAAGGAAACAGAATAACCCCAGTTATACTTAACCCTCTGACCATCAAAGGCCGTATATATAGAGCCTAGTATATTTTTGATGATGTCTATAAGAACGTATATATACGTACATCCTGAAATATTTCCAAGAACAAATTTGAGCCTTTTTAGTGAAACTCCGTGCTAGTGAGAGAGTTTAAATAGGCACTGTTAATGATGTAGCCTGTTTTCAAACACTGAATGAGCTTGTGATTCTGAAGAATAAGTTAATTTGTTAACGTATATTAAACAGTATTTAAAGTAAAAATGCAGATGCTGTAAATACAAACGTGATTAGGAATGTAGAAACTATATTATAAATAGCAATAAAGAGCAATTTTCTCATTCTGCACCTTTCGCACACAAGTTTGTTTGATATCTTAAGATAGTATTTTTCTCGTCATTCTCTAATAAGCAAATTTGTTTTTTGACAGAACTCAATCTGCACACAAAAAATTCGAGAATCGATTATATGTATATTTAAATCAAAATCACACCATATGAGTAGGTTTTACATAACTATTTAAAAAACTTAACAATTTTTAGCTTTCATTTGTATTTTGTGTTCATCTTGAATTACCGTTTTGTTCTTTTATGATTGCATGTGATTTTAATATAAATGGTGTCTTACATTTGATTTCACCTCTCCACGATCCATGATTTTTAATATCCAGTTTAAAAATGGCACTTTCTCACACTTTCAGTTATTGTTCTGTTTTCGGCGAATTTTCAAATTGCTTATAAAGTAAAATTTCTATGACGATAATCTGATTTTTTTTTACTAAGCGCTTTATTCTGAGATAATTATTTTTACGCGTAGTTTTAAGTACACCCGTGTAATATTAAAAAACGTAGTATATCTTGCAAAACTAGTCACAAGATATTACATAATATCATACACTATAGATCGTCTTTTTTTCTTGTAATGATTTACTTGATAATTTTACTAATATCTTTATTTGAAAACGAATGCAATTTTATTTAAAAACAAATTAGAAATAAATTAATATTGTTAAAATTAATATCAAGTTATTTAATTAATACTGATCTAAAATTATAAAACTTGAAGAAAAAGAAAAAAGAAAGTACTGTTTGAAATTAAATACCTGAGCAGTTTTCATATAACTGAATGCCATGTGTTTATAAATACTATATTACATTGCATTTAGATACTCATTAATTTTATTGTCTGTTATGCTTTGCCTTATTATATATACCCTTCTTAACTTTATATTTCATGTGCAGCTGTACTTAGTGGATTATAACTCCGAAAAAATATCAAGAAGTACAGTTTCTTAAGTAGTAGTATCATTCCTAGGTGGAAAAATACACGCTTTGAACAATCCAACATTTAATGC